AGAGGGGGCCTTAAATAAACTAAAAGGGAAAACAAATCCTTGGGGGAAGGTATTGCAAAAACTTGTGACTAATGGGTTAAAATTCTTGATGTATAAAAAGCTTTCGTTTACAAATCAATTTAGAAAAACACAAGGATGCCAATAGGAAAATGGCCAAAGAACAAACCAGACAGTGCATAAAATAATAATAATAATAATAATGTTCAAACACATGCTACTTTAACCTATAATTATTAGAATTTTTTTTAATTCTCAATTGTGGTAAGAACACAGTGATACAGAACTCTTATATTATTGGTGAGAGTATAATTGAGTATGAACTTTCTGGAAATAATCTGGCAATATGTATCAAAAACCTTAAAAATGTTCATACCCTTGGAATTCTACTTCTTTTTTTAGTCTTTTTTTATTTTTTAGATTCTTTATTGCTTAAAGTATTACATATGAATCCCCTTTTCCCCACTGACCTCTCCTTGCTCGTTCCCATCCTCCCCTTGAATTATACTTCTAAACATCTATTCTGAGAAAACAATAAAAACTGTGGATAATACCTATAAATGCCTGTGTTACCATACAGGGGTAGAGAATGTATGGCCCATGAGCCATATAAGGCCCTTGAAATCATTTGGTCTGGCCCTGCCAAGGCATTAGGGGTGAATTAATTAAAAGTTTGACCAAATATAGCAGGCTAATGTTTAAGTTGATAATTTTGTATGGCCCTCGAATGCTGCTATAAATATCCAAATGGCCCTTGGCAGAAAGAAGGTTCTCCACCCCTGATGAAAAGTTAGAAATGACTCTAAATATTAGATTTTAGCCCAGCTGGAGTGGCTCAGTGGTTGAGCATTGACTCAGGAACCAAAAGATCACTGGTTCAATTCTAGGTCAGGGCACATGCCCCGGCTGCAGGCTTGATCCCCAGTAGGAGGCGTGAATGAGGCAGCCAATCAATGTTTCTCTCTCATTAATGTTTCTCTCTCTCTCACCCTCTCCCTCCCTCTCTAATATCAATAAAAACCTATTTTAAATTAAATAAATCAACAAATAAATATCTGATCTTAGGGGAATGAAGTAAATTTTAATTCATTCATATAACTGAAGAGTATGAAATTATCAAAATGATGTATAAGAAGAGCTTTTAAAATTTATTTATTGATTTTAGAGAGAGAGGAAGGTAGAGAGAGAAAAAACACATTGATTTGTTGTTCCACTTATTTATGCATTAGTTGGTTGTTTCTTGTCTGTGTCCTGAGCAGAGATTGAACACACAACCTTGTTGCATCAGGACCATGCTCTAACCAACTGAGCTACCCAGCTAGGGCTACAAAGAGCTTTTAAAAGAAATGGCTCTTAGACAAGAAAAAGCTAAAGGAATTAATCACCACCAAATCAGTATTCCAAGAAATGTTAAAGGGACTTCTTTAAGAAGAAGAAAAAAAATAAACCAAAGAACAAACAAACAAAAAAACCCCACCCACATGAATAATAAAATGGCAATAACTACATACCTATCAACAATTACTTTAAATATATTTTTATTGATTTTTTACAGAGAGGAAGGGAGAGGGATAGGGAAGTTAGAAACATCGATGAGCGAGAAACATCAATCAGCTGCCTCCTGCATGCCCCCCACTGGGGATGTGCCCGCAACCAAGGTACATGCCCTTGATAGGAATCGAACCTGGGACCCTTTGGTCTGCAGGCCAACGCGCTATCCACTGAGTCACACCGGTCAGGGCCAACAATTACTTTAAATGTAAATGGATTGAATGCTCCAGTCAAAAGACATAGAGTGGAGAAGAAAACAAGATCTATACATATGCTATCTACAAGAGACCCACTTCAGATTGAAAGACACATACAGACTGAAAATAAAGAGATAGAAAAAGATATTTCATGAAAATGGAAAAAAAAATCTGTGGTAGCAATATATCAGACAAAATAGACTTTAAAACAAAAACTATGCCCAGCTAGCATGGCTCAGTGGTTGAGCATCAACTTATGAACCAGGAGGTCGCAGTTTGAATCCCCATTAGGGCATATGCCTGGGTTGTAGGCTGGTAGCCGTGTGGGGTGTGCAAGAGGCAGCCAATCAATCATTCTCTTTCATCATTGATGTTTCTATCTCTCTGCCTCTCCCTTCCTTTCTGAAACCAATAAAAACATATATTTTTTAAAAAACTATAACAAGAGACAAAGGACAGACATTTCATAGATGCAATAGCCAAGCTATGGAAACAACCTAAGTGTTCATAATTACATGATTGGATAAAGAAGATGTGGTGCATGTATGCAATGAAATATTACTTGGCCATAAAAAGAATGAATTTTACCGTTTGCTACAGCATGGATGGTCCTAGAGCAGTGGTTCTCAACCTTCCTAATGCTGCGACCCTTTAATACAGTTCCTCATGTTT